TTGCATGTTGCTGTATTCACGTGCAGCAGCAGGTCGTCTCCCTTGCGGTTTGGGATACCAAAAAAGGGTCTCCAGCAGGAGAAAACAATATTTGCAGGCGCTGGTGGCTAATATTTTCACGGTTTGTCGCCCAAATAGGCGGTCTTTTTCCATATATATATTGCACAACATACATTATTTTCAAGCACGTCGGTGAAATAAATGTCCCACATGTCACAGGGTATACTTGTGGTATATCTCCGCGGTTGCACGCATCAAGTAGCCCAAAAAACGCGCTTGAAAATGGCCCTATAAACACGTTTTATCGCCGTTTTTCCAAAGGGGGGGGACGTATTAGCCTCATCCCCGTTTTTTTTTTCATACAGTGTGCAGTATAAAACACTACATATGACTGAAACCTCAACATCGCGACGTCGGGCACTCAATTTAACCCGCGGAACTAGGCCTACACCCCACCAAAGCACCCTGACGCACTTTTTGGAGCTTTAGTCTTCGGGGAACATCATCAACTGGACCGCTGCACACGCGAGCGCGGAAGGCGCCAAAGGACCTCATTTTTACATCGATTGGTCTGACTCGTTTGCCAATTTTGACAGTCCCGTGGCGGGGGCTAAGAAATGACGGAGCCCCCGGAAAGAAGTTTCATGCCTGCCGGCACGGGAACGTCAGACCCGAGCAGCAGCTGACTGCGTCCTGGAGGAAGTTGCCACACAAGACATCTGCTGGCACGTAATGCGCTTGTTGGCCGATTGATATAGGTAAGGGTAGTGACGCGGAGCACATCCAACCAGGTTAACGTACTTATGTAAAGAGCTGCATACTACTATGCTGCTCTTTGCCGAGTTGCACCGCGTCATGCGGTCACCCAGTTATTCAAGGGAGCGCCTTCTGCTCGGCTTCTCGGTGCCTATGCACGTATACTTCAATTAATTCTGCTCTCTTTGCACATATGTGCTCGTCAACCTGTGCGCGAGTATGGACGCACCGAGAGGTGCCAGTCAATGTCCTTAAAAAAACGGCAGGGACGGAGGGTAGTAACGTGTTGGTGCGCCACTTCAGCAACACTGCACTTGTACTACTGTTTGTGCGGTGTGCTTGTGATGGGAGCGAAGAACGGACTATCTTGTCCAGGTCTTGTAGCAGGTTCAGGGTTTAGGGCACCGTTTCAACAATATCGACGTTTTCGGCTCGGCCTGTGGGTAACTTTTTTCTTTTTTTTTTCTCCCATCGTTGGATTTTGTCGTCTGGCACTTTGGCCATATCCTCCACTTCTACTGGCTAGGCGACCCAACCGGGGTCACACAGGAGGGGGGGGTTGGGCCCCCTCCTGCGGTTCCTGCCTGAGATATTTTTATCGCGAGAAGGGTACAGCAATCCCTTCCCTGGCGACTTATGAAGTCGATCAAGTTTACTAACAACGCGCTTTGCAGGGCATCGCTTTCAACGGAGACCAGGATTTATTTCGTGAGAAAAAACTCACTCTGTCGGGACTCGAACCCATGACCTGGCCCTTAGCAGGCTGCGAGGTTACCGACTTTATCTGTTCGTGGGTGAAAGCGTGTGTCCATTTTCAAGTAGCCCTGGTCCGGGGATGTTCTCGTGCGAAATTCGAGAGAGTTTCCGCGCACGCTCGTAGACTTTGGATGAATGGGCACGGGGTGCTTGCTGCAGTATATTATTGTCGGCAGACCCCTCTTGGCAGCTGCAATAATTTGTAGAGCCTTTGAGCGCGTGGCGTCTGCGATGCAGCCAGTCTGCCCAAAGCACTAAAAAAACAAACAGACGAGAGGTTGACGTTTTCGTTTTTTCTTTTTTGTGACCACAACAGGCGTGGTCGGCTGGCTTCCGCCCCCCGCTCTCTCTCTCTCTCTGTTTCGCAAAACAAACCGGCGGTTTCGACAAGAGTTGTCAGGCGAATAGGCGTTGTTCTCCAACCCCCCCTTGCCCCCTCACCCCGCCAGGTGACCCTTGGGACATACTTCGTCGTACCACATGGTGGGCACCAGGAGAATGCAGCTGTTGTTCGTCATGCGGGCGTGCGTTTTCCTGTCGATCCCGGGCTACTCCAGCTCCTACTTCACGCCTCCCGCCGCAGCAGCGCCGCGAGCCTCTGGACCGAGAGCGGGGCCACCCACGGGGCTGCCGCAAGCGTCGACGGCAGCAGCAGCAGCAGCAGTAGCACCGCTCGCCGCTGCCGACAGCGATGCGGAAGCATTCGAGAGGGTGACCCTCGCCCGTCGCTCTACGAAGCACTTCGACCGACGACGACCGGTGCCAGACGACGTCTTGAAGAAGGTGATGCGCCTTGCTCGATCCTCCCACCCACCCTCCTTCAGTGAGCCCCCGGAGCCGGGGTACACTCGAACAAAGACTGTCACTAGAAATCTGTACTCGGGGCGTCCGATGTTTACGACAGTACCACACGCAGCTTTGGTACGGAATCAACGCGTGCTCGAGAGGGGTGTCGATCGCTGTTGGGTGGGGTTGAGAACTCTAGTCCTCCCGTGGGAGTTCGCTCCTCTTCTCGTGGTTTGCCTGCTTGGCATGATTCGGTGTCGCTGTACACTGCTGTGGCTACATTCAGCAATTTTTTTTACTTCTCTAGTTAATGCCGTGAGCCACAAGCTCAGCTCGATTTCCTTAATCTTGTCGACCGTGCCTTTTTTATCTGATACTCTGCGTCAGTAGCTCACTCAAGGTTGGAATTCACTTGTCAAGTTTTGGGCCTCAGCAACGTGCTTCGTTGGCATTGGAATTGTTAATTTGTTCCCTTTTTTTTTCGTGGAAGGGTACCTCCCGCCTTCATTGTTTCGCGCCTTTGTTTCCGCGCGCTTTGTTGCCTTTTCCCGGAAGGTGTTGGCGCTAGCCTTGCGAGCCCCCTCCGGGTTCAACATCCAGCCGTACGAGTGCATCGTGGTGACTTCCGACGAGGCCAAGCAGCAACTCAGCAGGGCCATGTTAGGCCAGAACCGAGAGAGGTGAGGCGCCGATACACACCACCCTTCCTTGATGCCGACCAACAAACAATTCAGCCGCATGAGGCACGAACTGGGGGGCGGTACATGTACAGTGAACCAAAGACTCCTTTCGACCGTTCTGCGACAACCATGAGAGGCACCGATATTTCATCCTTCCCTGATGCCGGAACAGCAAGCAGCTCATTCGTGTCATGAGGGTCCGGACAGAGAGAGGTGAGGCGCCGATGCGTTATCCTTCCCTGATGCCGAGGAGCAAGAAATTCAGCCACGTTTTAGGTTAGATCGAGAGATGTGAGCTATTTCACTGTTGCTGCACACGCAGCCTCCCTCGCGAAAAAGAAAAATTCTGAACACACGCGAACTCCTCTCACGCTTGCCTTCTCTCCCACGCTTTTCTTTTTTTGTCACTACCTTCTTTTTTTTTTCATCGTCGCCTGCAGTCTCAATCGCACCCGCACCCTACCATCTTGTCTTTCGCGGTTTGTGCCACACGGTGAACAAAACAGGTTTAGATGGATGCCCACGTTTCGATGGATACACAAGCAAGGTTAATACCTGCCCCCGCTGCGCTTGGCCGCCACCTATGCACCCCTCCGCGTTTTTCTCCACGTTCCCTCTCGAAACCCCGTGTGGTTTACTTCCGCAGCATCGTTCGGTGTTCGATACAGCCCGCGAGGGCACCATTTTGGCTCTGCCTTTTTCATTTTCACGTTTTTTTTTTGCGCCACCGGCTGTCGTTGGTGAAAACACAAGCTTACACAAACCAGCGGCCGTGCCAACGAAAACGCGCCACCCGCACAGGCCCGCAGGGAATTGCTTAACCAGCCGACGGTTGCGTCCTCGAACGGACGCGCGTAGCTTGTCGGGCGAGACAACGGGTTCTTCACCATCGGCACCCGGCGTTTAACAACGTACAGTAGAGATAGACTATTAGACGCTTTTTCGTAAGACAACAGAACCTATCGACGGAGTTCTCTGTGTCTTCATTTCTCTCTTCCCCGGACTCAATGTAGATGAAGCTTGCACGAGTGGACATGTGACCTAATTATTGTCTAGGCGGCCCACCAAATGAATGGCTCTGGTCGCGTGTTGCTCCTCTCGTCGTGGCAGGGTGCTGGCAGCCGGAGCTACGGTGGTCTTCGCGAGCGACTTGAACAGCATGAAGAACGTTCGCAAGCTGACGTGAGTGTTGCGTGATTAACATTTACGATATCGCTAGTCGAGCGCGAGACTTCTCCGTACCTGCGGCGAGTAAGCAACAACCTGAGATTCTTGCCGCCATGAATTGCCTTTGGTTTTGGCTGTGAGGCCGTTGGGGGGGTATCGCCCACGTTATTCATATGGCGTCAATCGGTTGCGTTCGCATTGGCCAGCTGCTGCAAAACTGTCTTCTTTTATTTTCGGGATAGCTTTTGGAAGTGGAAGCTGACAAATTGTCGTGAAGAGTTTTCTATGCGTGCGCACAGTCTCGGCTCCCTCGGCGGAACGTCGTGCTCCCAAGTACATGCCCACACCACACTTGCTCCCTCACAGGTGCCGACGAAGACTCAATGACTGCTTGGGGCAACCTGGGGAATAGAGCGCTCCAGTACCCAGTATGTGCAGCGTTATCAACGTCCCTCTCCCCCCTCTACGCCTCCTTGCTCTCTCTTCCCTCTGGCTTGTGAGAGCCCAAGACACAACGGCCATGTTAAAAAGCCTCCTGTAAGCTGTTTGTTTCCAAAAAGCTGTTTATTGCCCTTGCCCGTGCTCCTCCAGAACCATGCTGAAGGAAGGGGCCTGGCCCCAGGGGTTGCCCTAACAGCTGATTATTTCCGAAAAGCTGCTTAAATCCTTTGCCGGTGCTTCTCCAGAACCGTGCCGAAGGAAGGGGCCTGAGGGGCTGCCCTAACAGCTGTTTAATTCCGAAGAGCTGTCTATTTCGCTTCCCCGTCCTCCTCTAGACCCATACTGGCGACGAGGACTTGCCCCGAGTTCTCCCTTGAAGCTAGCTGTTCATTTCCCTTCCCCTCCTCCAGAACGATGCTAGCGGAAGAGGGCTGGCCCAAGGGATTCATCAATAAGGTTCCCCTCTACTTGTCGGTGTTCTCGACGGGACACAACCGGCTTCTCCGGCTTCCACTGGTCGCAGCGAAGAAGCTGTCGTTCGCGGTGGTGCGGAGGCTCGGGAAGGGGATGCCCACTGTGTCGGGGGCGGAGGCGTGGGCTTTCAAGAACACCATGCTCGCGGTGCAGGTACGGCAGCGCTCACCGCGTCCGATGGGGTTAGTTGCCGCGCTTTTCTTCCTGGGGAGCGTAATATACCCCTTTTTGGATGACATTTGTTATTTGTCTCTTTCTCCCCGGAAGTGCGCGTGTTGTTGAAACGTGCCGCGATAAGTTCGAATCGCCTCGGCCTGGTCTGACGCGTGGTGATTGGAGAACGAGCTGAGCTGTAAGAACGACTGGTGTTCTGCTTTCGTGCTTTCGTGTGCTAACAACTGGTAGTGTCTTGCGCGACCGACCCGTCGGTTTAGGGGACTTTTGAGGCCCTCTTGTACTTGTGGCGGCTCGGGGAAGGATCTCGATGTGCGCGAGCGCGAGACGCTGGCCCTTGCCCCGGTTTCCGTTGGAATAGGTGCATTACACTTTTTCATTCGAAGGGAGGACAATGCATTGATCTCCCTGCTTCTTTTTACCTGGACCCACTCACGCTTACATAGTAACCAGTCAAGGTTTGAGGCTTCGGAAGGATGATTCACCACGCAGCTCGTGCTATCTCTCTTTTTGCCTCCTCTGTGTTCATGAACCGGTGGGAGCTTCAGCAGAGAAACGAGGTAAATTTTATCTTCGTGATAAAGCCACCATTAGAGCGAAGAGTTGTCAACGTCGACATATTGCCAGACCTATTTCATGCAACGGTGCTCATGAAATGACAAGATACGCGGTGTGGTTTTTGCGGCGGTCTATAATCTCATCACGACAGGAGCTCCTCCTGGCGGCGACGTCTCACGGCCTAGCCACGTGCCCGATGGAGGGTTTCGACATGAGAAGATTGCGAAAGGCGCTACGCATTCCGTTGCGGTACTCTGTCCCGATCGTGGTCAGCATCGGCTACCCGTCGGACGATCGGCGAGAGATCAAGACCCTCAGGTAGGCACTCGAAGGACCGGCGTCTTTAAACCGCACATGTAGGTGTGTTGCCTGTTTCGGCGTAAGTTCAGTTCCGCTTCCTTTACTACGTTGACGCTTCCACTTGCAGCAGCGGTCTTGCTTCTCTCAGGCTGTAGATAAAACCCATCAGGCTTGGTGGATCCATTCGGAACCCTTCGTCATCGTTGACTGCCGCAGAATGGAAAATTCGCGAGCACCCCGCCTACTGGCCGGTGGGTTGTCCTCACACGCTGTTGCCGCTCGTCATGCTGAACCAGCTGCACACGCGCCACACTGTCGAAACACTTTGTACACTGTACAGAAAGCGCACGCGCTTCAAAACCTCTAGTTCTGGACCACGCTGGGGTTCTTAGTTCGTAGAGTCAAACTACGTACGGCCGCCATTTCGTGTTACAATAGTGTAGGGGTTCTTAACCGAGCTCACAATTGGTGCTAAAACTTTTGGAATTGAGTAGTTTGAGGCTCAACTTTGCTACCGAGTTTTAAGTTCGGGCGCTTGCTGTATTGCTCCAATCCCCCGCTCCTATCTTCTTCTGCGGGATCTGCTGCTCGCTGATTGGTCGAGGGAAGATTCCCTCCGGAGGAGGTATTGCACCGAGAGGAGTTCGGCACGCCTCTGGAAGGCGTTCCTTCGCTCTGAAACGGCCGGCCCTCGAATGATACGGACGGTGGTGGCACGGCATTCCGGACGGCAGGTCCCCTTCACACCACAAACAAGAGGGCACGTGTAGCGGGATTCCAAACGTCATACCCTAAACTGGCTGAAGGGGCCGCTCAGGCGGGGAGGGCGGAGGGGAGGGGGGTCGATTTCGCACGATGTTTTCCCGCCACGCCCCCTCGTAAGCATATTATGTTTAGACTGCGAAGTTTAGATTTGGTATACAATGGACTGCAAGGGTGGAAGCTCAACTCTGTCTGCAATTATTGTGTTGTGTGCAGGATATTTTCTATGGCAGTACCCGAGCAGAAGTTGTCTTCGCATCCTTTCATCCCAGCCTTTTGTCTTGGCGCCTAACGCTTTTTTTGTAAATGCTTCGGTGTGAGAACTGCATCTAGTTGTACCATGAGCGAACGCGCTCAATCTATCTTTACTTTGCGTATATGGAAGAGTTCCTCGACCTGTCTTGTCAATGTTAGCGTTCCTTGTGTGCAACTATATGCACAGCACGGCCGGCGCCGCTGCACGTAGTTAGCTGCAAGACCAGTAGCTTCAAGATGAGAAGACAGCACGCCAAGAGTAGGCCAGTACATTTGTGTCCTCAAGCCAGAAACAAGGCAGAATGGGCAACAGCGATCCTTGAAGTACATGCAAAACTTAGGCACGGAGTTGTTCCTCTCTAGATACTGAACAGTAGTACCAAGGGAAGGGCAGGACGTTAGGAATCCCGCAACACGTGCCGTCTTGCCCCATACAGCAACAACGACCCACCCACCCAGCGCTTATTCGTGGTACACACGACACACGTTTTAGTTTTTCACGAGAAGCTTCAGTAGCAGCAGCAGCGGCAGCAGCGGCAACAACAGTGCTGCCATTCAGCAGGGTCTTCCAAGCGGAGAAGGAGGCTATGGCGTGAGTGATATATACATGATTTTGCATGTGCGAAAATTAGCTTCTTGATGCGGCATGGTCGGGTTCACTACTGGAGCTTCAGAGGTTGGTTTAGGTATGTTGTCGCACCAGAGTTCGCGTCTGTCTGTGTATGTAGCAGGTGTATTTTTGATGAAGGGAACGCGGCTGAAGCTTTTCATTCACATGCCGTTGACCAGAGAGAAAAAACATTTGAAAAAACTGTGGCACGCAATTCGCTGATTGGTCAACAATAACGCGATCTTGTGTATTGAATGAAAGCCGGTGGCGCAACGTCCTGGACGAAACATCGGGGGCCTCTCTGTAGCCAAGCTCCTTCGCGAAGCAGACACAACCTATCAGTACAGGGGGACCTGCGTACCGGAGAGATGGATAAAATGACGCGCGGTACGGTTAGTGCCGTCAACAGCGGGAACGAGCCAACCCACCACCGCACTCGCGTGGCGACATTTCCAACGCACACAGCACGGTACCACAAAAGTCTACCCACAAGACAACACCACCTCACACGACAAAAAAACCATCATCCGCAACAAGGACAACATGAGAACTATACACGAGAGAAGAATGTGCTCACCAATGGCGGTGAATCGCCGCTGTCTACCTGCTCCGGACACCCAAGTGAGCCCGCCCCCCGCCCACTTTACGATTGCTCCCCCCGGCACGACGAAAGTCAGGAACGTTACTACGGGGGAGCCGTCCGGAACACCGTCGAATGAAACGCCACCGGGTACTGCCGTCGTTATCGCGAACGGCCGTTCGGTTCTGATGATGCGGGCAGGCGCTGAGCCACCTCCACCGCCGCCGGCATCAACAACCAGTACATAGTCTACTCGTATGCATATGGGTCCCTATCGATCTGGCCTACACCGGGCAGACGCGATCATGGATACAGAATATGAGACTGACGAGTAGTAGTCTAGACCAAAGCAGATTTTCCATTCATTGGAGAGATGCTCGTGGGATCAGGTGCAGGCGAATCACACATTTAATTTTCACGTGCGCTACAAGGCACCCATAGGTTCATTCTCGGCAGAGTAGCATACAAGGTGAGGTGCAATGGTGCAAGAGTCGAGCAGCAGAGTAGCAGAGTCTACCGCGATGCCTTATTTCTCCCTGAAACACCAACATGCATTACTTCCACCGTTTGTACGGCTCCCTTTTTGTGGAACCCCCTCAGGGGGCTCCGCGGTGCAGACGCGGAACCCAGCATTATTGGCAGCCAGCTGAAGCAGCAGCAGCAGTAGCAGCAGCAGCCGGCAGACGTGCCTGTACTGCTGTGCTGCATACTTGTGCGCAAGAAGGGATATCCTGCCTCGATACTGGTCTCAAGCGTGAGTGCATTGTACGCTGCAGTCTAGACTGGTTGCGGATTTACGGGTGCTACCGTAACGTTCTCGCCACACCTTTGTTTTGGTCCTACCGCATGTTGCAAACCTATACCCCGCCCGTCCGCCTGCGCCGATAGTGCTTATCGTTGTGGTAGAGAGGAACATGCATTAGCATTATCTCTATTCAACCATGAGCCGTGTATGCCTATCTACTGGTGGGCCTGTACGCTGTTGCCGGACTAGAGAGGGTCCATGAATATAATACTGCTGTTCACCAGTTGGTTGTACGGCATGTACGGCAAAGATTCAAGTTTTTGAATATTGCCATCCATCATCATGTGAGTCACCACGACCGTAAGCCGCAACACTACAGCCCATACTTGGTACATATGGCATGCTTGAGGAACACTCCAAGCACCCGCGCACGGGGGAGGGGGGCAGCGATTGGCAGCCTCAATCCCCAAAACATGCGCGCATTGGCGTTGGTTATTATTATTGCCTCCGTGCTCGCGGCTGTTTGATGCACACAGCACGGCCGGACAATCAGTCGATGTTGTCGCTTGCGTTGGCACGGCGGGTGCGATGCCGACAAAGCGGGCAGGCGACGCGCTTGGCAAGAACAGCAGCAGCAGCAGCAGCAGCAAGGGCAACTCGCAGCATCGTTATGCAGCGGGTGACGTACGTGACCGCAGCCGCCACCCCTATGAAGCTGCACCACCGGCAAGCAAGCAGCCCAAGCCAGTCTTCTTTTTTGTCCTCCTCCGTGCTGAGACCAGCAGCGGGGACATCGTGGACGAGACACGAGGCTACCCCTGGATGGACAATGGCTTCTGCTCATTTCGGCGGCGGCGTCGACTTAAGCGGTGTCGGAGGTAGCGGTTGCGGCGGCAGCAGCAACAGTGGGTGGAGAAATCGGCGGACATTCTTCGTGGCGACCACCGCTGGAAACGATGGCGCCGGACAGGATGGAGAAGCAGCAGCAGCAGCAGAAACAGAGGCAGCGGCAACGGTAACAACAGGGGGAGCAGGGCCGGGAAGGGCGGAGGCGACTAGCGTTGTTGGGGAGAGGAGCGACAAAATCAGTACCCGCGGCGCCGGAGGCGAGGAGCACCAGGAGGCGAAACCGCCTAAAAAGCCGAGAAAGCGGCGTCAGGCAGCACAAACCAAGTACCCTTTCGGGAAACCCCTGAGCGTGTTGGCCTCGGCTTCGACCGGCTTCGGCGCTGGCAGTGACGCCTTCTTTGACATCGAGGACGAGCTTCCCGACCTTAGCGTGGTCGAAGTGGCCGGGCATGGACACGAACGGGCAGCGATGGGCACCAAGGAGCTGAGGGAGAGGATGGCGGCGGTAAGTGAGATTGGCTCGGACTCTGGACTATTTTCGAATGTATCGAGCGCCCTCTTCTGTCTGCCTGTCTGTCTGTCTGTCTGTCTGTCTGCCTGTCTGTCTATCTGTCTGTCTGTCTGTCTCTCTCTCTCTCTCTCTCTCGCTCTCTCTGTCTCTGTCTCTGTCTCTGTCTCCCTCTCTCTCTCTCTCTCTCATTCTCTCATTCTCTCTTTCTCTCTCTCTCTCTCTCTCTCTCAGACACACACGCTAACTATCCCCCGCATCCCGCCTTCTGTCACACAACCACCTCATCATTCCTCTTTATCCCGCCACCCTCATCATACCTCTTTATCCCGGTCGGTTCTCTCGTCTCTACTTCTCCCACTCGTTTCCGTCTTGCCCGCTCGCAATCCATCCTCTCTCGCCCTCCCTGCCTTTTACCGTACAATTCCTCTCCATAGCCGACACCTCTACCCCAGACCCGCCAGTATTGGTGGTGCGTTCCCATGAACCGTCATGTACCAATGCTTCAGTGTTTGCACAACCTTTGTGCCAGTTCATTCCTATCGCTCCCAGCGCCCCAACAAGCCAACTCATTATATACGGTGCTTCTAAATTTGTGATGTTTCATCCTGTGCCGCTCGCTCGCTCCCAGTGCCCCGAGGTCGTCGTCGCCCTATCGAGGGGGCTAGCGGAGGGTCGAGCGCGTTTGGTGGCGGACAACCTGTGCGCGTACGCGAGCACCAAGCGGACCGCCGAGAGCACCTTGGCGCAGCTGGAGAGGTTGCTGGGCCGGCGGCCCGACCAGGTGGAATGGGCGATGCCCCTCATCAGGTGCGTGCCGCAGAGGGGGGCGGGGGGGGGTACCCATGTTTTTGCATGCCTTTCAATGGCTGTTAAACCAATGACCACGCGTCCTCGTGACAGGGGTGGGAGACCATGTAAACGCATGCCAGCGATATGTCGGATTGTCGCGGGCCCAGGCTCATTTCATCAGGTGGGGGCACTCACAGCCGTGCATGCCGTACTCGTTAGATCACTGATCTCTCTCTACAATGCCGGGACGGAGCACGCCGGGTTCTCACAGGACCACAGGCTCTCACATCACCAAGCGCGAAGGGCCGTGAGGTATTCGGCGCTTCGCATGGAGGGTGCACTGCATCCTGCTGAGGGTGTCTGGCATCTTGTGCTTACTCGTTGCATACGGGTGCCAGCTGCGAATGACTTGATTGGTTTTCTGGTGCTTTCACTTACAGAGATAGTTACAAGCATGTGTAACTGCCTCGAGGGTGCTTGACTAATTTAACACAAGGCCGTGCGATCATTCCCTTTGCGCGGAGTGAGGATTCTCGACCCCGCACAACACAATCTACTCCACCATCACTATGGCTACCGCAGTGAGATACATTGCGCGAAAGCAAGGCTGTAACCTGGTTGTCGAGTTCAAGAAGGGATCGGTGTATTTTACAACGTTGTTCCCAAGGGACAAAAGCCCAATCCCGATGGCTCTCGTCAGGGGGCGTACTCTTATGTTTTGCATGCCTTAGCGGTTAGGCCATTGACCACGCGTCCTTGAGAGGACGGAACATGGTTCTCGCAGGGCCGATCACCGATGGCCAATCTTTCCTTCCTACTTTGCCAAAGGTGGCTTACAATGTTTCCCCTAGCCTATCCATCCTATCGATGTCACTTCCCGCCTTTTCAACCCACTTCCTATGTCCCAGCAGCAACATCTCCCTGTATCTTCCTTCTACTCTTCCCAGCTCAGTCATGCACACTTCCCTCTCCTTGTACAACTGACATTCCGCAACTACATGAACATGGTCTGCGCACTCGGAGCCGCAATCACATTTGAACTTGTCGTCTTCATCGTATACCTTCCTAAGTCTTCGTCCACGTTCTCGAAGGCCAATGTCCCCGGTCCTGAGTTTGATCTTCAGCTTCTTTCCTGCATCCATTGGTCCGCGTAGGTACTCCTTGAACCCTTTTCCTTCATTCAACAATTCATACACTTCTAGAATCTCTTTTCCCTCGGTTCGTTTTGGGTTAGATTCTGTTCTTCTCTCTCGGCACAAGCAACAGATATCTTCTCCTTAACCCCCTGTAGGCCTTCCGTTTCCAGCGTATCACCTTGGCCAATTTCAAACTCCTTCCATACGTCATCTACAACCTTGACCCACTCCGCGGCTTGTCAACCCTTCTTCTTGTTTGCCCACTTCGCCTCCTAAGATATTCTCGGCAACATCTCCTCCCAATCCGTTCATCCAGTACTGTCATTTTAGCTTATGTGCGTCTCTTCCCGATCGTAGGGATTGAATCCCCAGTTCTGCCCTATCGGCTGCGTTACTTGCGCGCTCGAGGCATCCTAGGATGGTTTTCGCTGCTTTTCAGCCGCGCCGCCTCGCGCTCTTTTTCTACCTTCTTTCTTCCTTCGCATACTTCTCCGGCATACTCTAGCGGCGGTACGATTACACTCCTCAAAACTGTCAATGTGATGCGTGTATCGAGGTGCCGGTTTGCGAGTATTGGGTGCAGCTTCCCGTGCTTTGCCCCTTTCCGCTGCCTTGGACATGTGCGTATTCCACGAACAGTCTTTTTCAATCCACTCCGAGATATGGGCACTGATCCACTACTGCAAGGTCCTAAAAACCCCGCTTCCATCTATTCTCAACTGGTTTCTCCCTGTCCTCGTTGCATATCACGACGGCACTCTTCTTAACGTTGGCAGACAATTTCGACTTGTGAGCAAAATGATTCGCTGCGTCGATCTGCAGTTGAAGTCCCTCAGAGGTATCAGACTTACCAACAAAATTATCCGCATATGGCATCCCCGACACCGAAGGTTCCCCTTCCTTTACTCCCTTCCTAACTGCCTCTACGACTTTCAACATGTCGTTGATGAACACCTGGAACAATGTTGGGGAGAAGTGCAACCTTGTGGGACCCCTGTCCAATGCTAAAGGATTTAGACAGTTCTCTGTCTAGCATGACAGCGCTTTTCGTCAACGCTGTCATCTTCTTCAGCACTCTCCACTTCTCCCCCTTTCATCCCGTCCTTGGATTGTTTCCATAGCCCGTTTCTCCATACTGCATTCTGTGCCTTTCGCACGCCCAAGAAGAAGCAGTACGTCAACTTTCGCGCCCTCTTTCTACCTTGCAGACTTGTCACCTACCATGAATGCGTGGTCTACATACGCACCCCCTCTTCTTTCGGAAACCTGTTGGCCCTCACTCATGCTACCTTCCTCGCTTGTCCAATACTCCCACTATCCTATCGTTCAGCGGCTTCCTGTTTCGTACTGTGTTCAACAGCGTGATCCCCTCATAGTTTCTTTGGTCAGTCTTGTCTCCCTTCTTGAACAAGTTCACAACCACCCCTTCTGAGTATCTCCCTTGGCGCATTCTCATTTTCCTAACCCAGTTGTTACGGCTGCACCATCAACTGGATCATCCACTTCCCCCCAATCTTTTTGCACTCGCTGCCCATCCCGTCCGCCCCTGCTGCTTTGTGGCACTGCAGCTTGTTCACGCAAGTCCCGAATTCGTGCTCAGTGAACTCCTTCTCTGGCTCTGCGTTCCCAACGATTGCCTTCGATGTCTCTCCTTCTTCCTGAGCCCATGCGTCCACTTCCTTCTCAGCACTTGGTCAAAATCTTCATTCTCCGACGACACTCCAAAGTCTCTTGTAGTGCCCTGCTGAAACCTCCCTTTTCCCTTTCCCACTGCTGACTAGTCCACCTCACAATGTTGATATTCCTATCCCCATGCGTGGTCTTACTCACAATCCCACCAATCCCTTGCTACATCTGCTTCACGTCCCCCTCCAGGCCTCCGTTGGTTTGCACTACATCATCCCAACATGTTTTATTCTTTTTCAATAACGTGAAGACAACAAAAACAACAACAACAACAACAACAATCCCTTCAACTGCTTTCTCTCGACCCCGCGCTCTTGTGCTCTTGCCAACTCCCCTCAGATTCCTCCTCAGGCGGTTTCTGACGGTTTGAAAAATTCCAGGTGAAAAAATGAATTTTTCAATTCCCAGATCCAACTCGGAAAATCTTACTCAAAAATAGAGCAGCCTTCTTACGGATCGACGGAATCGGAAACGCTAAAAACAGGGGGGGGGGGGGAC